AGTTATACATCTGTCTGAACTGAAGCTTAGCTGGAAAGTCAGGCAATGCTGTTCACGGCTAAATCACACCATCACGCGCAGGAATAGCATCCCCGCGTTCAACATCCAGTGGGCATGCTTCCTGATCGCTGTCAGCACCACCTTGCTGGAGCTGGCCTCGTGGAACAGGCGCAGCTCGCCTTTGGGCAGTAGCTTTCCTACGCCAAGCTGCCTGGGCAATATTGCTTGCTTCCTCAAGATCAAACTGATGATCCTTCATGAGGGACTGCACAATTAAAGATTTGAAGTTCACTTCAGACTCAGCTTCATCTGCAGCCGGCTGATGCCGCTGCCTGCGCTGATTCGAAGCACGAGAACCAGCTTTGAGTCCAGACATTGTGACTCCAGTCATTGATGGCTCCAATGGCACAGCCGGAACTGCTTCGTCTTGCCCTCCTTGCGCTTCTCTTGTGAGCAGTGGTGTCTCATCGCGCAGGATGCGACACCTGGGAAAGAAAGCGCAACGCTTCACATTCAAGGCGGGGCCCTGTTCTCGAGTCTCCACAACCCACGATTTCAGCTCTTCTGCGGCGTGAAGCACCCTGAACTCTGGCTCCCGAAGCCGCTCTACATGCTTGAGAATCATGGCCTTGTACTCTTTTGTTTTCGGCACCCGTGGCAGAAAACCTTAGCACTGCAAACTAACACTCTTCTACGAAGTGGGCTGTAACATGAAAGTTGCAAACGTGATGTCATTTGATGATGCTGGAGAAGGGGCTCGCAGGCAGTGCTGGCTGCAGCTTTTTGACATGGTCAACCAGCAGGAACTCAACGCTTTGCTGGAAATGTGGGTCAGACATGTACTGCTTGCACCTGCTCCGTGACTTGAAGCCTCACTGTAATAACTGTATTACGGTTTCTTTGCACTGTCCTCCCCGCCTCAGGAAAACATCTCCCGGAGACGGGCCAACACGCAGCGGATGCTTCTCTGGAAGGCCTCCCAAGGTTTTGTTTCCCGTCTCAGGTTTTGGCTCGTCTACTGATTGGAGACTAAGAAAGTTCAGATGTTAGGGTCCTGAAGCACGATCAATGTCCTATTCATTGTATTGATCTTCTAGAGTTTGAGGGATTTTGGGTGGCAATACGGTGGATGGAGGAAATCTTGCACCACTTGGTGATTACTCGGGTATAAGTTATATAAGGTATATAAGGTGCTGACAAGATTCCCTCCATCCACAGTAGGACCCTGCTTTTAGCATTCAACAAGCATGAAACCAGACACTGCAGCTTGACGGTCCCGATGGCTGAGCCCGGAATTAGAGGCGCCTCTTCGTGAAGGTTGGCTACACATAGCATGGCCAAAACCTTTTGTTGTGAGAGTTGGGTACATGGCATGCCACGCCCAGCACAGGCCAACCGGATAGTCTTTGCAAGCATTGCAGACGCTCCATTCTAAGACCATTTATGCGTGCAAACGGATTTGAAAAGCTTAGCTCAAAAAACGGATTTGAAAAGCTCAGCTCAAGACACATGGCCTGCCCGCTGCATGAAATGGAAGACCCGCGGCGCGGTAGGTCCTGTATGTCCATGAATTTGCCTGCCCATCATCTCGAAATAGTCTCGCCAATTGCGCTGCGTGTCCATCATTTGAACCTCAGATGGCACCAATTCAGGCATTGTCTACAGCGGGTCACGCCATGAATATGATGCAACAAAAGCGCATCACGTCTCTTCTCATGAGGCCGTTTGCATTGGGCCAAAAACTCGGCCAGTACTGCTCTGAAAGTTTCGATGGACTCTGCCCAGTGTAGCTTCTTGCGAATGTACGTCGTCATCTCACTGAAGAAGGCATCAATGTCCTGGAATGATTTCACAATGGTCCGCTGAACGAGATTTCAAGTTCAGCTTTCAGTCAGGCTAATTAATGTAAAATTATCCACTCACACATGACTTCATGTTTTGAAGACTATCGGATCGAAAAAAGATGAAACCCTAAACCGTGAGCAAGTCTAGGGTTCTAGGGTTTAGGGTTTGGGTTTAGGGTTTAGGGAAGTTCCCTAGGATTTGGGAGCTGTTCTCAGTCCTCGTGCGTATGACCTGTTCTGAGGAAGGAGGCGCACATGGTGCGGCAAATACCCATTGAAACACATGCTCCCATCCAAGAGAATACTGTTGCATTCTTGTTGGTTGTACTTGTGTTGTCCATCTGTATATTCACGTTCATCGTGTGTAACGGGCATGCTGCTTCTTTCAGTTCGGAAAAAACGTACGACAGCATTTCCACTGTACTTGATCCGCACATGCGGATGTCTGAGTGGGAAATGAATGTCCATACGCCCCACCCGTGGACTATCACCGCAGTGCAGTGTAGTCGAGGTCTGTTGAACGTCCCAAAGTCCTTGCTCAGCAGGAAGCGCGCTCGGGGCCATGAGAATTTTTGTTGGTCCACTGAATCTATTATCAGTGCCAATGCGCGGTTCTCACATCCCACATTTTGGGCCACATTTTGTGCAGTGGTTCTTGATGCGGCCCGTATTTGCCAATACTGCTGGCGATCATGGTATTGGTCGGCAAGGTGACGCTCGTATAACAAACGTTGCTTGAGCCTGGCAGTTACTGGCAAAGCCTTGATGAGCAATCGGTGTCTGGTACAAGTTGCGCAGATAGCGTGTTGGCGCTTACCGCGGAATTGCAGATTTGGGAAATCTTTCTTCCAAACACTGACGAACGTGTTGAACGACACGTGCGGGAACTCCAGGGCCAAGTACTGCTTGTATTGGTCATAGAGTGACCCGGGTGGCAGGTAGCGCACGCTGCTGTCTTTGAGGCTTCCCAAAGTGTTTCTATTGCCTCCTCGGATGATGATGTTGGCCTGCTCGGCTAGCTCATCATCAGATTCTGGCGCAGCAACACGCGGCTTGAAGTCAGCTTCAGTATCATCAGGCAAACTCTCTGCAACAGAATGATACAAAGACTCCAGATACGAATACACCTCTCCACTCTTGGGTGAAGGCGTGGTCCCAGGTTTCTTCGTTATGTACCGCACATCTATTGGCGCTGCAAGCTTTCCCTCAAAGACAGCTTTCAGAAGAGTGGCGAATCGTGGATTTGTTCCCATGAAATGCAATGAAGCAAATGCTGATTTGCACACGCTTTCATCATTCACATAGTACTTCAACTTGCAATCTGGCTTCCTGCCCTGCTCGGGTTCGATGACTCCCTGCTCAAGCGCCAGGTCGCGCAATCGGTTGAAAACCTGAGGCAAGGTGTTACTAGGCTCAGAATTTCAAACAATATCATAAACCTGCATGTTGCCAGAATGGGCCAGAAAATGGATTAATTATGTAGACTGACTATACATCGAGGGCATCACAACACAGCCGAGTGTCGTACTGATCCTGGTCCAGCTTGCGCAGAGCTTCTACATAATTCCAGCAAGCCTGGATGGCCTCACAAAAAAATGGCGGGGGAGGTGCCGGGATCATGGAAAGTAATGAGATGATTTTTTAAAAGATGACAATGACAGGCATGGATGGCCGTTAGGCGGGGGGTTGGGGGGGTCGCAACACCCCCTCTCTGCAAAACAAATGATCTGCATAACCCTCTCTTTCTGCTTATCAACTACTACCACAACTACTACTCTTACTTCAGGAAAGTCAGAAAGCGATAAACCGCGGAGCCAGAAATCAAAGAAGCCAGAAAGCCAAGAAGCCGAGAAGCCAGAAAGCCAAGA